GGATCTTGTTACTTCTCACATCACCAGGTCAGATACCCACCCGACATCAGGAGCTTCATCCAAATTCTGATACGGATCCGGGTCAATCCGATCCATGCAGTTCTCCTTGCTAAGTTTCTCAAACATCTTTGCTCGTAGCTCACGACCCGACTCCACGACCCGCTCCGTCCCGGGCTCTTCCTCGAAACCATTCTCCCAAAAGTCCAGATTACCGGGTCGGGTCGGTGTTGTGGGTAAACTCTGATTCCCAGGACCCAAGAGGGATCCACGTGGCGACCCGAATCCAGAATGGTAGCATCGTAACGGATTGTTGTAAGACGAAGGAAAAGATTTTACCTTTTCGAACTGTAAATTCCTAAACGAAGCAACGACGTCGTTTACAGAGCAAGCTCCGAGTGAGCGACTCAGTGACTGAGTCGTAAACGGAGAAGACTCCGAGTCAGCTCTTGGACTCATCGGCGGCGAACCGGAAACAGGAGAAATCGACAGCTGAAACGCTCTTGGACGAATCGGAGACGAAACGTCGAAGGAATCGACTCGATCAGGGCTCTGACTCGAAAGAAACCTAAGCTGGTCCGGCGAGTGAGCGAAGAAACAAACTCTCCGGCGACAGGCACCACCGTCTTTACACGGCTGAGTACGGTAACGACCTGGATGAAGCCAACACTCGAAAACCCCATGAGCGAACTCGCACGAGTCACCTTTTTTGCAACCACCTTTACGGAAATCAGGACAAGCCGTACCGGAGTAATGATACTTCCTCGGATCTCTCCGGCGAGCTTTTTCTCCGGGATGAGCGTACGGACACTCCGTCCAGTCATGGCTACGACCACGAGCACACCTCCTGACTTTGAAATCGTACATGCGGAAATGGTCACATGAATAAGCATCGATCGGTGAATCCGGACCCAATAGATCCAACTCAGAATCCGGATCCGGTTCGTTAGACGGTAGAAAACGCTGAAACGCCGCTAAAGTTTCAAGCATGCTGCAATCTGGGCTGTTCATCGCCGGAGATAAATACTCCGACGCTGTAAAATCTTCAGAAACCGGCCATTGAGGAATCTCCACCGTCGGATAAGTCCGGCGATTTTCTCCGATCATCATCTTCTTTAAACTTCCGGCGATATTTCACATTCGTCGTCTTCTCTATGAGATTTTTGTTCTTGTTGTTTTATTCACCGGCAAAAGGCTTTATGTAGTAGAAATGTTAACCATGGTTTGGTTAAATAAATATTTTTAACCATGGTTAAGGCTATTAACCTAATAGGCTAATACTAGGAGCTGCCATTCTACCGCATTATTTTAACTGAGCTGTGAGATAAGCGTATGTAACAGCGGCTTCAGAGTTATCCAGCGGATAGATTGGCGTGGACGTGTCGTGATGTGGATGTTTGTTAAGTGACTTTGATGAAGTTAAAGTGACCGACCTGTCAGATTAATGTTGTTGCTTTTGGATTTAATTAGATTCATTTGGAAATCTCGTTGCCTTCCGAAGTCGGTCGAGCTTTAGATACGCTGAATAACGACAAAATAGTTAATCCAACTTTACTAAATTAATTATTTATCCGTTGCATATTATCCCCAATGCAATCCGGATTAAGGTGCATATTGTTCTCAGTTTGAATTGAAAATATAAATCTCATTTTTAAAATGTCGTCATAATGATTTTGAAATTGAAAGAGCGAGTGAATTAATCATAACTTTCTACAAAATCAAGAGTTATGTTTATTTTTATTATCATGGTGATAACAAATTCAAACATATGATATAAAAGTTCCACCTATATACTCTGCCGTTTTCAATTTCTTTATTTTTAGAAATGATAATATAATTTGTATCAGAAAAATAAAAATAAAATCTCGAGAATATATTAGATCTTATGAGTACCAAATCTGGATCGAAGGTATATAAAAAAAAAAATGTGTTGGATGAAGAAGACATGTTGGAACAGATTTGGAATAACGTTGAAAGACATTAAAGGAGAAAACATTTATGTTTCTTTGCTAAATTTAGAAGCAATTCCATATCCCCCCCCCCCAATTAACAAATCCACCTATTGTTTATACGAAGAAAAGAGATAATCTGTTTGATTTTTTTTCCTTTAATTTTTTTTTATATGCTACATATTTTTAAGGAAAATTAGCAAAGATAACCATAAAAAACTATAATTAAAATTTAAACCAAATACCCTAAATTCTATGGTTATTATCACATGGGCCATTTTGATTACTTATCTAATTATTTTTAAAAGTTGGTTATTTGACAAATTAACCCTATGTTTAATAATATAAATTATTTTTATATTACATTTTTCTAAGTTTTCATGATAATTCTAATGAAAACGTTGTTATTTTAGATAAATTTGTTATATTTTTAAAAGACAAATTTATTAAAAAATAAATCAATTTTAATGGCAAAATATTATATCATAAATTGTATATTAATTTATTTGATCTGAGAAGAAAATGTTACAAATATCTAAAAACGTGTAACTCATACGTTTCAACGAGCAATTATTATTGTCTTTATTTGGAAGATAGTGAGATGAGATGACTTTTGTAAAAATGACATTTTTTGTGTCTACATTTATAAAAATATTGTTTTTAGTGTCTATTTGAAAAAATACCACTAATTATGATATTTTAGAGCTTAAATCTTAAAATTATAAATCTTAGAAAATCTTTTGACATCTAAAACTCTTTAAACCCTGAAAACTAAACCCTTATACAATATAGTTAACCCAAACATAAATGATATAATGAATAAATTATTTTGAAATAATAGCATTTTTATAAAAATCGTAAAAAATTGGTATTTTTATAAAGTGGTTCAAATGATATTTTTAAAGATTTTTCTTCAGGCTGTATTGTATAAGTTGAGAGAGAAAGTAAAAACGCACGAATTTGACTGAAAATG